AGCAAAAAAATTTTGACTTAAATATTAAAGCTAGGATTAGATTTTAAAGTTTAAATTAGGGGTTTGGGGAAGGTTTTCGAGCATACTAAATATTTTTACTTAGTGTATCGATCGGTAATTATCTTAGTTACTTTTGAGAAATAGCTGAGGTTAATTAAACTATTTTTATGTAGATATAAATAAAGTTTATATAGATTTTATATTTATGCAAACAATAAATAAAATCATATATAGAAATTACGTAGTTTACATATAAAAATTCTTATTATATAAGTCTACATTGGGTTTGTAGACCTATATAAAAATTTTATATAATATTTAAATAACTTTATAGAACTACATAAAGTTTATAAAAAAATAACTTACTGATAATGCCCTATCTACTCTATATATCATATCTAGTTTTTGTGATAGACCATATGGTCATGGTCTAGTAAAACCATCTTCTGGCTTTTCCATTAGACTAATATAAGTTCTTATCTGTATGTAGTTCCAATAAATTATTAATTCGACATGAAATAAAAATTGAACTATATATAGATGAGGACTTATATTTTAGTCTAATCAAAAAATTCCAAAATCTTTGGAAAAAGTGGTTTTGCTAGACCATGACCCAGATAACTTATCACCCGATTTGGTAGATTTGCTCTGAGCTACTTCGGTGATGATTTACCACTTCAAAACGTACGTACTACTGTATTGTCTAAATATTGTATCTGGTAGAACTTGCCATTATATGATTATAAGCTACAAATTCTTAGATAATTGATTTGAAATCAATAAGTTACCTATTTCGGCAACAGCAATTTTGTTTTTTTAGAATTTGTGTAGTGATCTTGGTAATGATGAAGCTCCAGGATTTATAATAATAGCTGTAAAATTGGCAAGTAGACTAAGTTGGTTAAGCTAACAAAAATTTATTAGCTTAGTCATAGCCGAAATAACGAACAGTTAGAATCACTAAGTTTATGATAATAGCTTTAATAATACCAAGTATCGAACGAAATTGATGCTAATATAGTCAATTTTCTGCAAGTATCCATTAAAACTAACTTTCATAGTAATATATTACATTTGAAATGTTCATTATTATACGTTACAATTAAACTTCTCTATAAATACACTTCCCGGTACAAAACATATATTACACATTTATAATTCATGTATATTGTAATGAAATAAAAGCTTTATTCTTTTTTTTTTTTTTATATTTTTATCTATTCTATTATTGTAAATAAATCTTTCACAGTGAAATATCCGCATGTATATAGACTATTTGTAATTCCCTACCCGTTTTGGAAATAATATTCAATTTTGGTAAATTTATTAATTTTCTTTTGAATAATTCATCACTTATACTAAAAGGGTAAAGATGGGTGGCTTAGTGACATAATTACATGAAAATCAGATGAATCACGTAAACACCAAAAAATCACGTATGCGTGATCATACAAAAAACTGCACCTTAAGATCTTTTGGTGTTTGTATTATTTTTGTGGTGTATACATCCAAATTTCAATGACTGCGTTATCATTTTAGTATAAACACCGAAATTGTGGTGTATATATTTCTAAAAATTAGAATGTATTTAAAGACCTGTAATTCAACACAATAAAAGATTAGAAATTGTTAGTTTTATCACAAAAAAAAATATAAATAAAGAAAACCATTCCATCCTTATAACATTGTTTCACTTAACTAAAAATATACACTTATCTGAATACTTTCTTGCATATCAGCTTCGAATCTAACTTGTAAGCTTGATAAATCTAATTGAGACTCAATTCAACAGACTGAATTGACTTATAACTTTGATGTGGTTTATTAAAACTCAGGTTCTGAACCATTTACCATTATAGATATCAGTAACTTGCAGAAATTGTGATAGAAAGCACCACCTTCGGCCAGATATTTGATGATGATAAATCATCATGTGAACCTAAAGTTAGACTTGATTATTGTCCACTTTTGGTTTTATAATTATCCTTAAGATTATTGTCTTCTCTTAAAAATTCTTAAATTGTCATCATTGTTCCTGAAAATATCTCATTGAACATCATTGTTAATGATATCACCAGTCATTACATCGCTCTTTCATTACACCTTGTCGATACTAAGTATTCGTAAAATCATCCCATTGTTTCTTTTGTTCTCTACTATTATAAAAAGACCCACTTCGCTTTTCATTTACCTTCATCTCCATAATACCATTGGAGTTAAATTGGCTCTTACCTATATCATTTTATTCTACTCTCCCAATAACGGTTACAATTAGTGCCGATTGTGTGAAATTGAACATTCATTTCTCCTAATACTTTATAATAAAAATTAAACTAATACCCCTTCTCCCTCCTTTAGAAGAATTGAATTTTCATCTTTCCAAATTATACATTTATAAAATAAATATAAACCCTTCTAGAAAAATATAACAAACTGAATCTCACCTTAAGAAAAGTAAATAAGAAACTTACCTTGACCCAGAAAAAAGTGATGGCTCAACAAAATCCTGCCAACTCTGCACAGCAGCCAAACTCCGCCCAACCACTGAATTAAAATAATTCTATTAACAATTTGGCTACCCAAATTGGATTGCTGATTCAACAAATGCAAGTCATGCCAGCCACCCAAATTAATGTTTTCTATTGGAAATTAAATCTAGTTTCTTATCCTGACTTTGCCGGGGGGACCAGGATCCTATGATCTGGCTTAATGAAGTAGAGAAGGCCTTTGTGGCCAATTTAATTAATATTAATTGAAAGATTGCTGTCATTGTCTCCCACCTGAAAGGGTCTGCTGCAACCTGGTGGGCTACTATTCAAAGACTTTCTAACCCCGTTAATACTTGGAATAATGGTGCCAACCCTACTCAGAGTTTCTGTCTCACCTTTATTGGTCATTTTTGTACCCCACATTGGAAGGGAAATGGTTTGCTCAGCTTGCTACTCATAAGCAACAATTGAATGAAAATATCAACACCTACTATACTTCAATCCAGAAGCTCCTTTGACGAGTTGAATCTGGGGGTCATCAGTACCCTGAAATAGCTAAAGCACAAATTTTTCTTAATGGCTTATAACCTAAATTTGTCCTAGCCATTGCTCTCTCCACTCTGAATACTCTTCAGGCCGCTTATAAACATGCCAATGCATATGAGAGTGCCTGCTGTCAAAGTTTTTCTTATCCCCCTACTTCATTAAGTGCTTTGTATTCAGTACATTTCACCCTGTCCACTCTTGTTGGGATCTAACCTCCGGTATTTATCTCTGAATTGGTGATCAAAAAGTTGACCAAGGCTATTAACAAGATGCTCCTTCAGTTACAGGAGCAAAGACCATCTACTTTGAGAAATACCAGCTGGCCTGTATGTTATAAGTATGGTTGGCCCAGCTATATTAGTCAGAATTATCGAATAACAAATTCCCAATCTAATTTTCCCTCCAATCTGGTTTCTCAAAACCAGCCAAACCTATCTTTAATTCAAGCCTCTGCCAATCCTCCTTTTCATCCCTGCTATCTATACCTGTAAATCTAGGACCTAACGATGTACCCGAGAATCAGCAGCAAGAAACTTTCTAGACTTTGTTAGCCTTGGCTGCTAGTTTAAATCCTGTCGGGAGTCAAAGTAACCAGTACACCTATGTTAATATCCCTGTTGAGGATGTTTCTCTGTTTGCTGTGGGCAAACAGGACCCTCAATGATCTAGTAGTAACCTCTGTTCTACCAAGAGAAGAAAGGAAGAATTAGAAGAGACAGAGTTAGAGGAGGAAACTTTGGAACAATTAATGGAGTAAGAGGCAGATAAAGAGAAAAAAGTCAATAACCTCCTGAAGTAATTGCAGATCTCCCTATCGCTCTGTTAAAAGTCGCTGTTGCCAAGCTCAAATGCATTGTCTGTAAGAAGATTCAAGAGAATAACTTCCTCAAATTACGTCTTTAGTTTTTCCCTATTCGATCATTGCAGATATTTAGGATAAGCCTACTAATATCACCTACGGCCAACTTTTTCGAATTACCCCTGCATTGTAAGGAGAATTGGGTCAGAGTCTGCAGAAGAAAAAAGCCTCTAGTAAAAGAAAAGTAAAAGCGAATATTAGTATCAGCTCTAAGAAAAAATTTACCGCCCTTTATTGTGATGCCCAGGTCCTAGGTACAACTATTCTCCTAATCCTTGATAGTGATTTATCAAAAGTGTCATTTTGTCACATCTTCTTTGGGATCTAGATATTAATGTCCATAGTGAAAGTAAGAGGGCTTTAGGGGAGATAT